CCTAAGGGTGGGGGCCAGAGGTTGAATCACCCAATGGCCAATAATTTAGTCAATCATGACTATGCAATGAAGCCCTCACAGAAACCCGAGAGAAGCTTCTGTAAGAGAGCTTTCATGCTTGGGGAAACAGAACATCTCCATACGCTAACGAGCCAGGCCCCAAGCTCCACCAAGACAAAACCTCCTTTATTTGGGACCTTGCCTTAAGTATCTCTTCATCTGGCTGTTAACTTGTATCCTTTACGGCATCCTTTATTAAACTGTTAAATGAAAGTGTTTTCCTGAGTTCTGTGAGCTGCTCTAACAAATTAATCAAACCTAAGGGGGAGGGTCGTGGGAACCTCCAATCTGTAGCCAGTAGGTCAGAAGCACAGGTAACCTGGGGCTTGTGACCAGCACCTGGAGTGGGGGATGGGGGCCATTCTTGTAGGATGGAGCCCTTAACCTGGGAATCTGGTGCTGTCTCCAGGCAGATAGCATCTGAACTGATTTCTCTGACACCCTGCTGATGTTCAAGAATTGCTTGGTGTTATGTATGGAAAGACCCCCTCTCACACACATATGACCATGGGAATTGGGTTCGGGAACCCAAAAGGAGTTACATTGTTATTACTGCTGTATGTAATATTATTAATTGTATATGAAAGAACAAATAACACTGAGGAAATAAATTTAAATTTTTATTTAATTTTAAAGAGAACACTCAATCCAGTTATTGGAAAATGTGTTTGGGAAAACCTGGATTTCTGAATTTACTTAACTGTAAATCTTCTGAAATCTAAATGCAGGTAAAGTTATTTCTGTGAAAATTTAATACCTGAATTGCTATGTGCTATAAATTTAAAATATACTGGATTTCAAAAGCTTAATATGAAAAAAAGAATGTAAAATATCTTGTATTAATAATTATATTAATTTTTATATTGATTACACTATGTTGAAATAGTAATTTGGATACTGAGTTAAATAAAATAAAATATTAAAACTAATTTCATTTTTTTACATTTTTTAATATGACTACTAGCAAAACTTAAAATACTATATGTTTCACATTATATTTCTACTGAACAGTGCTTGATTAGTCCATGTTCTAATACTACAGTACTCACCTGGGGGCAATTTTGCTACCCAGAGGATATTTGATAATGTCTGGGCATTTTTGGTTATCACAACCAGGATGCTGCACTGGCATCTAGTAGGCATTAAGGCCAGAAATACTGTTCAACATGCTACAATACAATGCACAAGATAGTCCCTAAAACAAACAATTACACAGCTCAAAGTGCCAACAGTACTGCAGTTGAAAACCTCTGTTCAAATGGTTTTTCAACATCGTGGCATGCATCAAAACTCCACTGCCTTTTATAGCCTATCCTTTGATCCAAAAGCTTGTTTTGTGTCAAGTAACTTCCACCTAATTAGTTGAAGTATCTTCAGAATTTGTATTAGGTTCACCTTTAAATCTGATTGCAACAACCACAGTTAACAACAGTGTTGAAATATTAAAAGCTCACCCACTATGATCAGAAACAAGACAAAGATCTCTGCTCTCACCACTTCCACTCAACACTGGAGACTCTAGCCATGGCATTTAGGCAAGAAAAAGAAATAAAAGGCATTTAGATTGGAAAAGAAATAAAATTATCTGTTTGTCAATGATTTTAAATATAGAAAGTCCTAAGGAATCCACAGAAAAATTATTGGAATAAACAAGTTCAGCAAGTTTACAAGTACAAAATCAATTTGGAAAAGTAAATCTGATGTACCACGTAAAGTATATTATCACTTTCTCCTTCTCATTTTACCTTCAACTGGTGTAGACCTCTCAAATCCAGAAACTCTATGACCTTCAGCTGATGGATAATCCCATGATTATGGTTCTCCAGCTGGAAAAGTGTCCATGCCCAGAACACAAATTTTGAACACTCCAATACTACATTTTTACAAATATTGCTTGTTAACGAATCTTAAAGAATGAAATGAACAATTCAACTGGTTATTATACAATAACTACACCTAGGTCTTTTAGAATCCAATACCTTACCAGAAGCCAAATAGGTTCAAATGGCCAAACTTGTGATCTTTTTATAGGGCACAACACATTGTTGAAAATAAGAGAAAACTGATGTGCTGCAACCTGTATATTTTGAAATAAATTATCAATTTGGAATGCCATGGAAACAGGTTTCTTAACCTCCTCATGTACCTATAAATATCTAGACACCAAATATACAAATTATTTGATGCCTTGGTGCTACCCAAAGAAGTTGCTAAGTTGCTATCTTTAAAAATAAATCCACAGTAAAAAAAAAAGACATTGTCAAAACTACTGGAATAGCAGACCCCCAGCTCAGCCAGTCCTTTTACAAGGAACTTTCATAAAACAGAAAGACAAATTCATGGGAGGTTCAAGGATTCTATCACAGATATGCAAAATTTTTCACCTCCAGAATTTTGAAAAACAGAGAATAACTGGGTTGTAAGACCTTTTAAGTATAAGATCTGGCAAAGCCAGAAAAGCCACCTGTTTGCACCAGATAAAACCTAAGATGAGCACCTGCTAAATTCTTCCATAAGACAATTCATTATAGTAAAGACAAATTGGCTGTGATGGTAAATAAGCAGCTGAAAAGGAGAAGGAAAGTCTTGAAGAAGAACAAGAGTAGAGGACTACTCACCAACTCTTTGAGATTAATTATAAAGCTTCTTGTTAAAGATAAAGAATTGTGTAGAATTAACACAGATAAACAGACCAATGGAAAAGAATACAGAGCCCAGAAACCAATCCACACATGCAAGGGGATTTGGTAACATAAGAAGAGGCACTACAAAGCTAGTGGGGAATGGGTGTACTATTTAATACATGATGCTATGAGAACTGGCTATCACTATGTGTTAACATTTCTACCTTACAACAGTCACAAAATTTAACTTCAGGTGAATTAGGCATATTTTGAAATGTGTAACTACTAACAAATAGAATTTTTTTAAGCCTCAGGGAAGGAACAAAATTTTAAAACCTAACATAAAAAAGGTTCAATCATAAAGGAGAAAGACAAATTTGACTAAATTTAACTGAAAAACTCTATAATTAAAGACAGCCACAGACCATGTTGAAAGTCAAGCCATCTACAACATCTTACTATGCCAATGGACAGTGACTGTAATGGGGTTTGTGGGGGGGACCTGGTGAAGGGGGGACTCTAGTAAACATAATGTTCTTCATGTAATTGCAGATAAATGATAACAAAATTTTAAAAAAAATAAGTGATCAGAAAAAAATAGTCAAGCCGCATGCTAGAAGCCCTGTAACAGATAAAGCATTATGATCAATAAGAATACAAGTAATCAAAGAGAAAACTGACATTAGATAATAACTTTACAAAATAATGATCAATAACTATATGAAATGAAGAGTCTTGTTAGCCAGGAAAATATAATTAAATTACCAGCTACTCTCTCACAGTTCTGACTGGGAAATTTTAAAAATCTGGTAAGACTAAGTGATGAGGTAGGGAAACCAGAATTCTCTTACATTGCATTGAGTGTACAAACTTGCACCTCACTTCAGAGAGCAATTTGACATCTAAATTCCATGCTGGGGCATATGTCCAGAATATCTAGTATCTTTGCATGAGATCACTACCGGGGGAATTGGTAAACTGATACAATATGATACTAAACAGCAGTTACATTGAGTATTTAATAATGTAGATACATGTTGAGTAACTATGTTTTATACATGAAACCAATATAATGTATAGCAACTATACTTCAATTAAAAAATTTCTTTAAAGATAACAGATAATAGGATATCACAAATATAAATTTTTTAAAGACTGCAATCTATTATTTATGGATACAAACATGAGATAAAGTATAAAATCTCAAATAGGAAGGAATCACACCAACTTCAGTAGGTTAGCTCTAGGGAGGGAAAGAGGAGATGGCGTCAGGGAGGAGTACAAAAGAGTAACATTTTATTTCTTTAAAAATCAGAGGCAAATATGGCAAAATAGTTTGTGAAGAATACAAGGGTATTTATGTTATTATAATTATTATTATGTATATTTGAAATATCTTGTAATTAAAAAGAATTTTAATGGGCACATATGGTATAACAATCAAATAACATTAATTATTCACACCATAAAAACTAATCAAATAATAACATTACTTAAGCCAGAGAAACTTATGTAGATACATTAGAGCATGTGATAAATAAGAGTTAAAAATAAATCTAAAACTTGAAACTTACATTAGAATTTTAAATTATTAATTTATGAATGGGCTTTGAATATCATGCAATTTTAAAATGTTCTTATGCTGGAATTTTAAAGGGTACTCTCTAGAGTTGTCAAAGCTGTATAAGTAAAACTTTAATTAATGTGGTATTCTAAATTTAGTCTTATTTTGGAAAGGTTTTTCTTTAGCATATAAACAGTAAAACAAGCTTTACATTTATATTTACAAGTCTCAAAGAAATGTGTTAGAGTCCTAAGTATGAAGAGTAGGTATCGTACTGTGTTCCACCCAGAACCTGATGCCCTAAATACTAACGTGGAAAAGCAATGCTCCATTATTCCTTTTTCTTTTCTACTTGGGGTTTGGGTCAGAAGCCAAGAAGTACTAATACTGGAAAGTTACAAACAAAGTCTTATTATAAAACCATTTTTAAAGGAAGTGTAACTTTCACAGAGGAGTAACACAATCCTTTGGGATTACTATGTCAGAGAGAGACATAGAAAGACAGAATATTTTCAGAAAGGGTTATTAAGAAGAGGTAGTAAAATTTTGCTATCTGTACATCACTGACTGACTCCTTGAGCCTCAAGGCTATAATATATACTAAAGCAAAAAATTTAGGACACAGAAGAAATTAGGTAGGACACTGCATCTACAAATACAACTCAAGAGATCACTGACTCATGTAACACCTCATTCTCAACTATAATACTCTGACCATATTCATACTATTTCAATAATAACCATTTACCCAGTTGATGGTAAGCATAATTTTATTTAACATGAGTTGCTTTTTGCCAAATTAAACATCTGCAAGAGAGATGATCAGCTGATCTTTCAAGTAACCTTGCTATTAGATATGCTAATATTTCCCATGTAATGGAAGACTGCAATAAAATTATTACAAGTTCCATACTTTTACATTTTGGGCACAATTTTAGGCATAACAGTGTTGTGGCAAAAGGCAGTTCTTCACTTACTCTACTTTAGTCTGTTATACTGAATTTTGCTTAGTACTAAAATTCTTAACTTGTACTTCTGAAGATTGCAAAAAAACTAACTCCCACAGATTTCTAATTTAGTGTAACTCTGGCCAGAAAGAACACCAAATCTTGCTTACAAAATTAGAAAGCTTCCTACAACATTTTAAAAAAATTTCTTCTTCTGCCAATCTTAAGTTTCAGAAATACTAATTTATTTATTTCTTCTCAATAATGGGATAACTACCACTCTGCTTCATGAATAAAATAATCGAATTCCTGTTTGTCTCAAAGTCTCACCCTCTGGAGATTCAAACTGAGTAATAAATTCACAGATAGGTCACTAATACATGGAAATTTGTCTTCCACAGCAAAAGTTCAGTGTTATTATGAACTTAGTTTTCTGATTTTCATAACCCTTGATATATGGAGGCACCTTAAAGTTCAGTTTACACTCTTTTATTTAGAATTTCAGAGCATGCTTTAAAATAACTTAAGCTATATTAATATAGCTTAGTCTCACTTTATCATTAAAATATCTACAAAATCAGAATATTAATTTTGTTGTCATAACTCATAAATAAGTCTTAAAATATCTGTAGCTGTAAATCAACCCTCTTAATTCATTTGCCTCCCTTGGACTATTCTAGAACATAAGTCAACAAACTAAATGGATTTATCAGTATAATACAGTTGCATAATGCTTTCACAAATTCCAATTCTGTAATTTAGGCTTTTTCCATATTTATTTTTAAATACACAAAGAGATTATTAATATAAATATTTTCTCTCAAATATGTAATATTCTCCTGTCAAAGAAAAGGTTTCCAAACATTTACAACACAATCTAAAGATAAGTAAAACTGATTTTAGGATCATTACATTAACCAAGATACATTTTCCATAGAAGGCCCTATTTATAAGTAATGTTCACTGGCCTCCTTACATCAACACTTTAAGATGGATCCAAATTCACTGCCTTTGCTTGATTTACTTCAGGGATTACTTCTGGTGGGAAAAAAATCTCAGAAAAAGGTCTCACGACAGAGTGGACAAGTAGATTTGTTGCTAGATGTAAACCATTTGTACTGAAAAAGAAAAGATTTTATATGTTAAAAGGACTTTTAAAAGCTGTCATTTTATATATATATCTAAAGAAGCCTTAAAATGATAAAGTAAAAAAAGGGAAAATTCCAAAATTTTTGCTTTCTCCACCTCCAAAATCAACACAACTCAGTATTACTTCCAAAGGCTGCAGTATGCTTGCCTCTACCTAGGCTCATGCACATAAACACTAAGATACATAAGGAAGACCTCTTGTGGAACAACGAAACATACAGCAACTTTCTCTTCAACTGATGTTTAAAAAGAGCAAAACCTCTGATGCCAGATGGCCCACAGTTCCAATTTTTTCAGTCTCCTTTACGGTCTAGATCTTAGAAGACCATTTGTTTTTTTGAGAGCTAAAAGGTGTATTAGAAACACCCATTTATTAAAGTGTTTTGATGCTACCAGTCTCAGTAAAGTACTAATTATGTCTTATAGCTTTTGAAAAATTATTGTTTCCCATTAACTACAATTAAGAGTTTAACACGTTTACTTTTCCGAAGTTAGACAGCATACATATGTAATATACATAAAATATAAATAAGTTCATTTCTCTTTAACAGACTTACCAAGCAGGCTGAATGAAACTTTTTCTTGCATGTTCTACATGCTTTTTTGGGAAGAGAGTAGTTGAAACCATGAATGACTGAGAAACAGATCATGCAATCTTCAACACCCTCAAAACGTTTGTCTACATTATTTTTCCATAATGCCAAGCCTTCCATAATACTTCCATTCTATCAACAAGAAGGAAAAAAAGTCAATTTGCATTCAGGATCACCAATGTAATTTTTATTCAATTTCACAAATTTTGAAGTTAAATTATAATTTGGAAAGAAGAATATCTGCTTAGCTATGTTCACATGTCCAAAGTTTTATGAATATTTTTTAAATGACCCCCAAGTTTTAAGAACCAGATATAATTTGTCTCCATTAAAGGCAGACTTGAAAAAAAAGGCTTCTGCACGAATACTTCAACTTTTATAGTCTCAGAATGTTTTGAGGAAACTTTTAATAAATAATTTGGGTCAGTTTTCCCAATTTTTAACTAAAATGATTAAATTATTTCTTTACCTTCTCAACTGCTGATTTGTTTCAGCTCTACAATACTGGTGAATGTATTTGTTTTAAAATACTTTTTCCTTATTGTAGAATGCCTGAGATACAGTACAATTATGCAAACAAAATTAGAGAAGACTGTCATTTGTTTAAAAGTCATGGTTTTCGTTAGTACTGGGATTTCTCTAACTACATAGGAGAAGAGATTAAATGAGTAAAATAGCTTAGAAAACATTCATCTGTCCAGAATCTTATAAAAGATTCCTTCTCAATGTCCTTAGTACCATGTGTTGTTCTATATCATCTATAATGACAATGAATGAAGTAAAGTCAATTAATCACACACACCAAAAAAGAAATTACAGACCCTTAAAAATTAAAACAGCTTGGCAAATTCAAGTCATTTAAGCATATATGTGGGTTTATCCAAGGAAATATCAGCCTTAAGCAGGAAGATACATTTTAAGTTTTATTGCCCTTTCAAATGGTAGATCAGCAGTTTCCCTCTCTAGTTTGGCAAGCCAAATGTGTACACAGAAACTTACTTGATGGGTGAGGTAAGTGCTTAACTGCAGCATCCAGTTCCGCCACTGCTGAACAGCCACTCCAACTCTTTTCCCACTTTCTACTGTTATTGAACCCAATGGATAATTTGAAGGCAGTTGTATTATAAGTTCAATAACTATGTCCTCAATAGTATAAGTAGCCATTACTTCTCGAGTAGTAGCTCGAGCTTTAACCTGCAACACATGAAAGGTAATTATTTTGCCAAACTTTTCTTGCACTCAAAAAAACATCTTGACCTGATGACTATTAGAACAGTCTTCAAAGAAAACATAAACAGGTTAAACACCTGACATTTTATAGTGACTTTATAACAAAATTTGTTTCAAAAGAAATACTGTTCATAAAAAAAGTATGTTTTATTATATTAGGCTTGACACACAATAGTTATTTTTAAGAGACCAATGCCAGAATGGGTTATTTCTTCCCTTCTATGCCCAGGGTATCAAATATCACTTCTATTTAGATGTCTCCCAAAGTCTTTCTCTACCACAGAATTCTCCTGAGCTTTAAAGTCAATCATCAACTGCCAGAATATTTATACCTGGTTTTGATTTCATATTAGCACTGAAACAACATAAAACGCAAACTGTCATCCTTGACAAATTTATTCTTCTGAAATTTCTCCTTCTACCTCATCCCAGGTATTAATGAGTTACAAATTTGGATAAATCACCACAAAATTTCTCACATCCCTCCCCTTTTATGGAATATTCCCACTGACACTGCCTCACTGAGGCCATCCATCCTTATCGCTCATTTCTCATCCTTTGAACTCTAGCTCCATGTCAACAGTCCATGCTATCTATTGCAGTCAGAGCAACTTTACAAATTGTAATCTGACAGTGTCACTGTTTCAAAGGATTCCATGGCAAAATAAAACCAAATACTTTAAACTGTTACTTGAGTCCTTTCCCAACATGGCCGTAATGCATCATAGAAGCAGTCTGCTCTCTATTCACCTTCAGGAATCCTGCTTTCTATGAATATTGGGTTATTCATCATTTCTTGGGCAATCACAGAAATTACATTCTCATCTCCAAGCTTTCTGCTTTTTCCATACTGTTTTCTCTATATTAAATGTCTTTCCCCTCATTTTCCCCAAAAACAAATCCTGCCCACCTCAAAGTAATCTTCCTCTGTAAAGTCAACGATCAATCTCTTCAGCCAGATGAATCTTTCCCACTCTGACTGCAGAGCATTCTTCCTCTTACTGTGCCAATTTCCAGTTTCTATTACAAAAAACTATCAGTATCACTCTTTTCCCTTTATTAGATTGTATGTCATTACAGGACAGGAATCTGACCCTATTAAACTGCTCATTTTCCAGGTGATTGGCACACTGTGCCTTGATGTCTGTTAAGTATTCCAATATATAGTTTGAATGAACTAATGAATGTTCAGAAACATCTGGTGGGGGTAAATGAAATTATAGCATTGTTTCAACATCTGCATGAATATTACAATTTGATAACAGAATCGGAAAATAGACAATTTCTATAAATTCTGAACCAAGGGTTACAATTGTGATGATACTCACTTCAGGTGACAGATGTTACCAATATTCAAACAATTTTCTAGAAAAAATTTAAGACAATACTAACCGTCATGCCATTAAATAGTTGTGTACTTGTCTGCACAGAAGATATTTCTTGAAAAGAAAGAACACTGCTGACATACTTGCTTGTAAATCTATCCACAATATTGAAAACACGCTTCTCACTACTATTCCACCACAGCCTCACCATGGCAGGCAAGTCTTTTAATGTCATATGATAGACTGAACAAGCCAAGTGTGGAATATGGTATGGAAGAGTCGCTGTTTCTGAAGAATAAACAAATTCTTAGTAACAATTATTTCTTACATAGAATAACAGGCTAATATTAGTATCTTCCTTAGAAAATCATTTTTAATTCCTTAACACAAGTGCTAGGACCCATTAAAAAAAACCAAAACACAGAAACAAGAACTCTAGATATGAGCTTTCTCTCACATTCAAAATGAACCATTAGAATGTCAAAAATAAGTAAAAAGAATGAAGATCCCAACTGATACTGAAATGTTTGCCTAGAAATCGCATTCTATATTTCACCTGAAAGATCACAAATAAAATGGGACACACATATTTTTTAATGGAGGAAAAATTAAAGATTCTCTCTTTCTTATAAATCATGAAACAAAGTTTGGCCTCCTTTACCTTCCTCAGAGCTCACTGATGTGATATGCAAAGATGCTAGAACACCCACCTCAATACTCATGAGACAGAGTCCCATTCTCAGATCTCCAAGGCACTGTAGTACAACTGGATGCATGTACACAATTTCACAAATTTTGAAGTTAAATTATAATTTGGAAAGAAGAATATCTGCTTAGCTATGTTCACATGTCCAAAGTTTTATGAATATTTTTTAAATGACCCCCAAGTTTTAAGAACCAGATATAATTTGTCTCCATTAAAGGCAGACTTGAAAAAAAGGCTTCTGCACGAATACTTCAACTTTTATAGTCTCAGAATGTTTTGAGGAAACTTTTAATAAATAATTTGGGTCAGTTTTCCCAATTTTTAACTAAAATGATTAAATTATTTCTTTACCTTCTCAACTGCTGATTTGTTTCAGCTCTACAATACTGGTGAATGTATTTGTTTTAAAATACTTTTTCCTTATTGTAGAATGCCTGAGATACAGTACAATTATGCAAACAAAATTAGAGAAGACTGTCATTTGTTTAAAAGTCATGGTTTTCGTTAGTACTGGGATTTCTCTAACTACATAGGAGAAGAGATTAAATGAGTAAAATAGCTTAGAAAACATTCATCTGTCCAGAATCTTATAAAAGATTCCTTCTCAATGTCCTTAGTACCATGTGTTGTTCTATATCATCTATAATGACAATGAATGAAGTAAAGTCAATTAATCACACACACCAAAAAAGAAATTACAGACCCTTAAAAATTAAAACAGCTTGGCAAATTCAAGTCATTTAAGCATATATGTGGGTTTATCCAAGGAAATATCAGCCTTAAGCAGGAAGATACATTTTAAGTTTTATTGCCCTTTCAAATGGTAGATCAGCAGTTTCCCTCTCTAGTTTGGCAAGCCAAATGTGTACACAGAAACTTACTTGATGGGTGAGGTAAGTGCTTAACTGCAGCATCCAGTTCCGCCACTGCTGAACAGCCACTCCAACTCTTTTCCCACTTTCTACTGTTATTGAACCCAATGGATAATTTGAAGGCAGTTGTATTATAAGTTCAATAACTATGTCCTCAATAGTATAAGTAGCCATTACTTCTCGAGTAGTAGCTCGAGCTTTAACCTGCAACACATGAAAGGTAATTATTTTGCCAAACTTTTCTTGCACTCAAAAAAACATCTTGACCTGATGACTATTAGAACAGTCTTCAAAGAAAACATAAACAGGTTAAACACCTGACATTTTATAGTGACTTTATAACAAAATTTGTTTCAAAAGAAATACTGTTCATAAAAAAAGTATGTTTTATTATATTAGGCTTGACACACAATAGTTATTTTTAAGAGACCAATGCCAGAATGGGTTATTTCTTCCCTTCTATGCCCAGGGTATCAAATATCACTTCTATTTAGATGTCTCCCAAAGTCTTTCTCTACCACAGAATTCTCCTGAGCTTTAAAGTCAATCATCAACTGCCAGAATATTTATACCTGGTTTTGATTTCATATTAGCACTGAAACAACATAAAACGCAAACTGTCATCCTTGACAAATTTATTCTTCTGAAATTTCTCCTTCTACCTCATCCCAGGTATTAATGAGTTACAAATTTGGATAAATCACCACAAAATTTCTCACATCCCTCCCCTTTTATGGAATATTCCCACTGACACTGCCTCACTGAGGCCATCCATCCTTATCGCTCATTTCTCATCCTTTGAACTCTAGCTCCATGTCAACAGTCCATGCTATCTATTGCAGTCAGAGCAACTTTACAAATTGTAATCTGACAGTGTCACTGTTTCAAAGGATTCCATGGCAAAATAAAACCAAATACTTTAAACTGTTACTTGAGTCCTTTCCCAACATGGCCGTAATGCATCATAGAAGCAGTCTGCTCTCTATTCACCTTCAGGAATCCTGCTTTCTATGAATATTGGGTTATTCATCATTTCTTGGGCAATCACAGAAATTACATTCTCATCTCCAAGCTTTCTGCTTTTTCCATACTGTTTTCTCTATATTAAATGTCTTTCCCCTCATTTTCCCCAAAAACAAATCCTGCCCACCTCAAAGTAATCTTCCTCTGTAAAGTCAACGATCAATCTCTTCAGCCAGATGAATCTTTCCCACTCTGACTGCAGAGCATTCTTCCTCTTACTGTGCCAATTTCCAGTTTCTATTACAAAAAACTATCAGTATCACTCTTTTCCCTTTATTAGATTGTATGTCATTACAGGACAGGAATCTGACCCTATTAAACTGCTCATTTTCCAGGTGATTGGCACACTGTGCCTTGATGTCTGTTAAGTATTCCAATATATAGTTTGAATGAACTAATGAATGTTCAGAAACATCTGGTGGGGGTAAATGAAATTATAGCATTGTTTCAACATCTGCATGAATATTACAATTTGATAACAGAATCGGAAAATAGACAATTTCTATAAATTCTGAACCAAGGGTTACAATTGTGATGATACTCACTTCAGGTGACAGATGTTACCAATATTCAAACAATTTTCTAGAAAAAATTTAAGACAATACTAACCGTCATGCCATTAAATAGTTGTGTACTTGTCTGCACAGAAGATATTTCTTGAAAAGAAAGAACACTGCTGACATACTTGCTTGTAAATCTATCCACAATATTGAAAACACGCTTCTCACTACTATTCCACCACAGCCTCACCATGGCAGGCAAGTCTTTTAATGTCATATGATAGACTGAACAAGCCAAGTGTGGAATATGGTATGGAAGAGTCGCTGTTTCTGAAGAATAAACAAATTCTTAGTAACAATTATTTCTTACATAGAATAACAGGCTAATATTAGTATCTTCCTTAGAAAATCATTTTTAATTCCTTAACACAAGTGCTAGGACCCATTAAAAAAAACCAAAACACAGAAACAAGAACTCTAGATATGAGCTTTCTCTCACATTCAAAATGAACCATTAGAATGTCAAAAATAAGTAAAAAGAATGAAGATCCCAACTGATACTGAAATGTTTGCCTAGAAATCGCATTCTGTATTTCACCTGAAAGATCACAAATAAAATGGGACACACATATTTTTTAATGGAGGAAAAATTAAAGATTCTCTCTTTCTTATAAATCATGAAACAAAGTTTGGCCTCCTTTACCTTCCTCAGAGCTCACTGATGTGATATGCAAAGATGCTAGAACACCCACCTCAATACTCATGAGACAGAGTCCCATTCTCAGATCTCCAAGGCACTGTAGTACAACTGGATGCATGTACATCTACCCCCTCAGCTAAAATATGAGCTCCCAGAATGAAGGAAATAAATTATACTCATCTTTATTTCCCCAACTGAAAGCTAATTATTTACAGGGCTATAAAATATTATCACATAAATATTTCTTTACAGAATAAAAAATAATAGTCTCAACAAACTAAGCTTCAAGTATTTATTAAATTCTTAACTTTGTCCACAAGATCTATTTGTTATGCCCTAGTTAGAGAAATAAGGAAAATCTTGCATGTCAACATTCTGAAAGCCAGGACTACATTTGGAGTTACTCTCCATACCCCCAGAATAAAGCATAACATAGCTTAATCTGGACCAAGTTTCCATGAAAGAACACAAATACACATCTTACTAACCTCTAATACTCAACCGGAGCTCTTCTGTAAAGAATGTTTTAGGGTCCTTATTTGAAAGCTCAATAGCTGTCTCTGCATAAGTTGGATTTTCTGGCATAAGCCTGAACAGGTGATAGAGCAATTTATTCAAACTTTTTGTTTTTCGAAGGTACATTGAATACAGAGCTCGAAGCTGGTGAAGAGTGAAGAATTTTTGTTAATAAACCCAATTAAACCAAAAGAATCAGTATATAAAAATAAATCTAAGTAACAGATTATACAAGAATACAGTAAAAATGCATTAATTTGAACACTCAGAATTACAGAGTCCTACAAAATGTATGCCACATTCTTACTTTTCAAACGTATATCTGTAGCACTGCTCCCTTTCCTCATAAACCAGAAGTTTTCACTATCCCTCTTTATTACACATACGCTTCTAACATCTTTCTCAAACTGTCTCCCCATTAACTAAGTTCACCTCCACTTGAAGTCCCTAAGCCAAGAAAATCTATTCATCATTTACCACAGATGTTCACCCACTCTCCTCCCAAGTCCTCTACACATTGCTTCCACATCACAGTCCTTAATCCTTCAAAATCCTGCTTAAAACTAATTCCATTTTTATGGCTGACATCCCCTTAGAGCAAATACTCCAGCATCCCTTCAGGACAGAGAGCAAAACCTACTAGTCCAAAGTGTCTTGGGGTCTTCTCACAGTTGTTTTATAAGTCAGGATACTTCACAGAAAAATATGGGATTCTGGTTTCTTTTTTAAAAATAGGAAAACCTGGCACCACTATAGGCACTATAGGTACACTATAGGCATCTGTGTAAAATGTGCTTTAGAACTCATCCTTTACTAACAGAGAAAATAATTCATTTGTTCACATTTACTTTGCAACTCTTTGGTATATGTACCTGTTTTAAAATGATTTCTCCCACTATACCATACATCTCTTCACAGAACAAAGAACACTATGTACACTCCAATACAAGGATCAAGCCATAGGATTTGGAATTGATTCTTCAGTGTGTTGATCAAAGTACCTTTACAATGGAGAAATCTGAAGGACACTACCTTCACCAAGTAACCAAACTTAACATCACCAATAAAATACACACTGACATTCTGTGCCTCCTGAGATGACACACTGAGGATGCATCACCACTGTGCAGTAGGTACTCCTGCTGAAAATTAACCAGAATCTAACCATGACGCAACAATCAGACAAATCCAAATTGTAACACAGTCTACAAAATAGCTGACCTAGTGAAAGACAAGGAAGAGAAGAAAGGTAAGGGAATTCATTATAGGTTAAAGAAATATGACAACATGGATGCACCTAAAGATGATACATTAAGTGAAATAAGCTAAAGACAAATACTATATAATTCCACACGCATGTATATATATGTGCAATCTGAAAAATAAATCAATAAAAAACAAACAGATTCATAAATACAGAGAAGAAAATGGTGCTTGCTGGAGAAGGGCATGGTGGACGAGGTGAAATACGTGAAAGGGATTAAGAGGACAAACTTCCAATTATAAGGTAAGTAATTTGTAGGAATGAAAACTACAGCAAAAGGAATATAGTCAATAATACTGCAATAACTTTGTACAGTGACAGTAACTATTGTAGTAAGCATTTCATAAAATATGTAATTGTCGAAACACTATGTTGTACAACTGAAACTAATACAGTATTACATGTCAACTACATTTCAATTAAAAAGGAAAAAAAGAAATATGACAAATGCAAACATGATCATTGATAGAACTGTCAACAGAAAAGGAAATAAAACTATAGAGGACATTGCTGGAATAACTGAGAAAATTTGAATACAAATTAGATAATATTATTACATCAAAATTTAATTTGAGTATAATGATTATACTATACTTGTGTAGAAACATGTTCTTGTTTTTAGGAAATATATGTTTAGAAATACTTTTGGTGAACAATCATGACATTTGCAACTTACCTGCAAGTAGATCAGCAGAGAAAAAGTAAACAGACATAGCATGCTTTTAAATGTAGCAACATGTTAAAAATTTGTGACTCTAGGACTTTTCATTGACTTAGTCTTCCTTGTTCTCTGTAAATCTGAATTTTTTTCAAAACTACAAAGTAGGAATGACAGTAAACTTTTTTAAAAATCATAAATAATGGACTTCTAAAAATATATGTATAGTACCCAGCTATACCACTCCTAGGTATACAACATGAGAGAAATGAAAACATATGTCTACCCAAAAATTTACACACAAATGCTTACAGCAGCTTTATTCAAAATAGCCAAAAAGTGGAAATAACCTAAATGTCCATCAACAGATGAATGGATAAACAAACTGTGACATGTTCACACAATGGAATATTATTCAGCCATAAAAAGGAATGCAGTACTAATACATGCTACAATGTGGATGAATCTTGAAAACATCATGTGCTAAGTGAAAGAAGCCCAACACAAAAGACCACATTTGTGAAATGTCCACAACAGGCAATCCATAGAGATAGAACAGAGATTAGTGTTGCCAGGGGATGTGGGGCTTGAGAGGAAATGGGAAAAGATTGCAAATGCATAAGGGTTTTTTGTTTTTAGGTGTTGAAAATGTTCTAAAATTAGATAGTGATGATAATTACGTAATTCTGTGAATATACTAGAAACCCCAAACTCTACATTTAAATTATCAAATTTGATGGAATGTGAAATATATTTCAGTGAAACTGTAAAACACACACACACACACACACACACACACACACAGCTTTGGTTCCAGTTCAATCTGATTTACGAGGAATTTCCTGAAATGCAAGTTAAAAACAACTCAGATTTAAGCCTGATTAAAGTTTTTTTTTTAATTCTGTTTTGTGTCAAGATTCATGTAGTTAGTGTTATTTACTAGATTATTCTGGTTTATCTGTTCACAGCTTAGTTCAAATTCCTGTTCCAATAAATGCTGCTATATCATTCTTTGTGCCCCCTCTCCCACTCTGGTTTAATGAAAAAGATGATCCATGGCTATTTTCCTAATTTCTGAATATAAAAAAGAACAAAATTCTTATACAGAGAAGTCTCAATGTGCTACTATTTTTTAGAGATCAACAATATTTTAAGAAATGAGTACAAAAGCCCAACAAGGAGCTCATAAGATATAGGGAAATAAAACTAGCTCGTCTTAAACATAAGTAGCAGGCCTGAAAAGAAATAAAACAATTTAGACATATAGATCAATGTTGCCTCTGTGATTTGATTTTCCCTTTAGATATACAAATGCCAAGATGCATATGTTGATGTATTTATATAACAGATTATTAGCAATAACATATATTATAATTTAAGAATTTTGAAAAGTCACCTTAGAAATGAATGCCATGATATTCAGTCACACTTTAAATATGAAGTGATAAATGGAGTGTTTTTGTATTGACCTGTCAAAGAAGCCACACACCTTATTAAGCTGATTCAATCAACATTTGATTTTTAGGTGGAGATTGCCTAAAAGAATTTTTTTTAATTGAGATTTTTCCAGCTTCCCTTCTGAACAATAAGGTCTGTCTTTTTGAACATGAGACCACAGAGACATCTAGTGGCTGCTAGAATAATTAGGGCAAAATAATTAAAGGATACTTTATAGTTTTAATTACATAGGTAATGTTTCACAGGTCTTTATTTAAACACTGATTTTCAAATAAAGTAAATTTCCAATCAAGTATTAACTGAAATCTCCACAAGAGTCAGAAGTTTATCAAAAGAAAAAAAACAAGCAAGATCCAATTCTTTAAAATTACTACATTGGTAGTATAGATTATACAAATCCTGTTTACTGCAATAAAAGGACCTGGTGGCTATATTCAGTTAGGAAAAAACTGATCTAATCACATTCCAGAGATTGATTAATTTTGCAAAAACTGTGTGTGTGTGTGTGTGTGTGTGTGTGTGTGTGTGTGTGTGTATGTGTGTGTGTGTGTGTGTGCGCGCATGTGTTTAAAAACAAATGGTGGGAGGGTGAAGAAGTAGGGACAGAAATAAATTTAGCAGAGTATCTGAAGTTAGTCAGAGAAGATAGGATTAAAATATGGGAATTTCCTTGCCCACCCCCACCACCCAGCTTTTTTTTTTAGAAAAGGAGGGGAAGGAGGCAGTGTAGGAAAGTAACAGAGAAACACATACAAGACAGAACTGTCAAAGTTGTTACATGTTTTTTTACCTGAGATGAAGCAGCTTTGAAGAAAGTAAGTATTAATTTCCAAGTGAGGAGATATCCCAGAACATAGCAGAAGTCTTCACTCATTGGCTTAATAGTCACTATTTGTCCAACAGGAATGCACCCCAAAACATTTTCCAGTAAGTTCTCTTGAGTGCTAAGAAGAGACATCAGTGCTGCCGGTGGTGACCTAAGAATCAGTGATTGAACATAAATGTGTCTATAACTTGTCCCTTAACATATTTGACAGCATGTATAAATTTTAAGCATTTTATAAAAATCCTTCCCTATTTTTCAATAATCATTTTAAAAGTTCCCCTTCCTAGATTCAATTTTAACTCCTCATTTTGCATATAATTGCAATTACAGAATCTGAAAGGTATAAAATGTTTTATATATACACACACATATATACACAAATATATAAAAACATAAATATAAAAGTATATCAAATATGTAAAATATATATAAAATATAATTTTTATTTATATAAAATATTTATTATATATTATTTAATATATATTATATATATATTATATATTATGGATATAATGTTATAAAAATATGGAATCTAGAAGCTAACCCTTAAAGGAAAGACCCTTTCAGAAGGTATATGTTTCAAACTTCTATTTTATAGATGAAAAAAATAATTCACACACCCAGAGATGCTAAATGATTAGTCTAAAGTTCCTCAGCTAGTTAGAGAACTGATGAAGGCCAGGGGCTACAAGCCCTAACAAGTCCTTTATCATTCTATAAAGAATAAAAAGGTCATAAGATTGTACATCTTTTCAGGAAAGTGAATTTAACATGCACATTAATTCATGACAGTGTAAGTTAACTTTCTTCTTGACTGAACTACCACATTCATTAACACTTTGGGGATTCTCAAAAAAGTGATATACTTGTATATATCCTGTCAAATTCTCTTCTCTACGACATTCCAGCTTGGTCCTCCTCTCCTTTTACCTCTGTAATCTTTCTTCTGTTGTGGCTGGCTTCTTTCTCCTAGCCTATAAATATAGGTCTTCAAGCTTCTGCCCTTAGGTTTTTACCTTCAACACCACCATCTTATCTAGCAACCCTTTTCTAATCCATACACATAGTCACTTGATTTTACAAATACCAATTCAGACATCTTTCCACCTCCACACTGTCCTCCATTCACACACATTCTGGAATGATCTCTACTTCTACTTGCTTTTTTTGCATAATTTATGCTTCCTACTATTGCCAGAATCAGCTGGTGGGAGCCCACCTTCTACCAAAGAGGGCCCAAATCTCAGAAAAAATCATCTTTAAAGCCCTTCATTATCTGAAGTACCCTTCCACCTTTATTTTCCACTATACCCTTCCTGTCTACTGTATACCTATTCATTTACTCTTTTCTTAACAAATAAGCAATCCTCATGATGAGTAGTAAGTCTGCTTTAGGCCAGGAACCATTCTGGATGCTGTGAACACAGCTGGGAAAAAAAGACAAAAATGCCTGCCTTCCAAGAGTTTATATTCTGCTGGAGGAAAATATAGACAATAAAAACATATTAAGTGGCACTATGAAACATGCCCCAAGCATATCCTGAACATTCATGCCTCCATGCCTTTGTACACAGTGTTCCCTTAACTTTTTATACTACCACCTAACCTGAAGGATAAAGCATAAATGTCTCCTCCTCAAAAAAGTCTTCCTTCTGGCTGCACAGCAACTGTGCCTCCATAACCATGCTATCTATCCTTCTTTCTTAGCACTTGTCATATTCTATCTTCTATTATAAGGGTTCTCTATATTAGACTATAAGCTCCCTAAGAAAAAGAACATTTATTAAAGCACAGTACTTTTCCCTCAGCATTTACTTAATACTTTGCACAAAGTGGGTGCTCAATAGGTATATGAATTGATATATTCTTCCCACATCTATCATGTTACCAAAAAAAAGTTTTACTAAACAAGTAGCAAGCTGAAAATATGACTTAGGTACAATTAAGGAGAGAAACTATCTTTTTGGTAAATTCTGTATTTTATTTATATCTTATAAATAACTTTAAAAGATCTTCTGAATGAATATATAGTCTAAATTTAGAGTTTCTGTGTTGCCTCAGTCTTCTAGAGTCATAAGTAAGATGGATTATGAGAATATATTAAAACAAATTACTAAAAAAACTTACAAAGCTGGTTCTTCTTCTTCATCTCCATATGACTTTAGATTATCCTGATCGTACTGTGGTAATTCAGGCATCAATCTGGAAGTAAGCATATTATTTTAAATTATATTACATTAAATTTTTCATTGTTAAATCATGCTTAAGAGTAGAAAGTTTTTTCTAAAATAACGGCCTATGGCCATGAGTATCTAAATGTAAATTATGTATTGAGAACAGTGAACTAAAAGATCAAAAACTAGGAGTCCCTATTATTAGAATGCGTGGCCAGTTTACTTTTTATTTCCCTGGACTATTTTTAATGACTAAGGAGTTAAAACTAAACATACATTTAATATTTCTAGACTACTTCAACACTGATTCAATTGGAAGAATTCTTACTTGTATAGCATATGATAAACAGCAATTTGCACAGGCCGAGCTCTGAAGAGGAGTAAGGGGGCCAATGTATTTAACAAAGTCTGGAGATATTCTGGCAAGTTTGTTTTTTGGCCAGCAACCAGTTTTGCAGGGAGTTTTTGACTCAATAGCTGATTCTTTGGGATATATGTTAGTGTTTCACACATGGGCTTTAGCACGGCATTCTGAAAGGATGTTTCAGATGTATCTTTGCTTTCTCCTGATGACAAAAAGGAAATAAACATGCACATTGCAAAACAAAGTGAGTATACAGCTTGACTGAGTCACAGTCAATGTTATTGTAAAAACTGAACTAAAAATTTTACAAGTATTAAAGCAGTCCTAACTAGAAACATGAACTGAATATATATCTCAGATAATCTCAACTGTTAAATGACTTCTATTATCTCATCCTTAAAAAAGAGAGAAGTGCAAGTTAAAATAATCTATCACGTTATCCAAATTACTATTATTTTAATTTCCAATGGTCTTTGGATATCTTGCCTTTGTCCAATTCTTATCTGTAAAGCAAAAGGCATACATGATGCTTCTGAGATGCCAAGCTGTCTCTCTCTTTTCTTTTAGTATTCTGTATGTTTGACGTAAATATCCAAAGTTTTTGTTCTGAAATTTTAACAAGTCAGTTTCAACGAATCTCACTATTATTCCCTTTTACACTTGCCTGTAACAGTCACCAAAAGAGGTAAAAGCATACTGTGGATGCCTTGGGAAAAAAATTCTTTCCATTCATTGATTAGATTTATAGGAAGATTGCCAATGGAGTCCAGAGTTGTGGATTCAAAAAAAGCACTGAGCTCACAGGCCAGATCACAGCTGACACAGGCAAACAGTTGTACAAGTGGAACAGAATACAATGCATGATTCTCACTTGTTGTCTGAAGAAACAAAAATGAAACAGGTGAGCAGACTTCTACCAGAATACCACAAATTAAGGCAATAAAGAAAAGTTCCTTTCATTTCTCTATAAATTTTTAAATAAGAAGCAGTTAAGTGAATAATCTTAGGAGACATTTATATATCTTACATCAAACTAATTTTTCTCCAAAATTAAATACTATGAATTAGAAGCAATCCATTTATTCTGAAACATTCCTTTTTATTTCTAAAATTATGAAATGAAATAATATAAATTACCTTAACAAGTGAAATACATTAAAAACACTTTATAATCTCAGGAGCCCTACTGATTAGGCATTATTAAGCTATTTTAAAATAAACAAACTAAGACTCAACTAGGTCAAGCTTAAACCCTAAGCCATACAGCTAAATAGCGGGCAAAACAGAGATTCAGACCAGTTCAACCCTGCTAACTGTGTAAAAGCCTACAAGTGTTAAACATCTGGTTGCTTAAAAGAACACTAACTCCCTCTGAATTTGCTTAATTTTTAATGCATTACCAACACAGTACATTTTTTTAAAAAAGACCAAAAAGCTTGTCATGAAAAGATACACGAAAGGGCCATGCTGCAAATATCATATTAAAATGAGCTAATGGGGATACATTTTAATAGCAGTTAGGAGATCTGGTCACTGAACAATATTGGCAGACATTAAACCTCTTATCATTTTACTGTTCTGCCAAATAGTAGCTGGTGCTATACAGTTAATATAAAGTGCTTAAACACTTGTGAAGTAACTAATCACAATCATTAAGAGTAAGATTAGAAAATAGATTTGGCATACACATATGCACAAAGATCCAACAGAGGTGATGACACATAGATTAATTTACCTCCAACCAAGCCAACATGGAACACATGATAAAGTCCCATTCACTCTCTGCCAAAGGAGATGAACAGTATTTCAGAAATAGGGAAAGGAACCGGATTATTTCTATGTTTACACCCAGTATCTCTGGACTTACTTCTGATAATTTACTGTGATAAAGACAAAAACAAAACAACAAAACCATTAAAGAATTACGTAGATGTTCAATGAGAAAATATTCTATTAAATCTTAAATACTTATAAAAGACTGACTTAAATGTCTATTATCCTATCTATGATAGGATATTTTAAATAGACATAAAATTATGTCTATTTTTATATATAAAATTATGACTATAAAATACCCAATCTGTATAGGAGGGGAAAACATAGTATAAAATATCACCTACCAACTGAAAAGAAAAATATCTTCATGATCTTTTTTCCAGGATATTAGAATTTTTAATATACCATGTAATAGCTCTCCATCATCTATGCTTCTGGTTTGCAAACAAGAATTGAAAATTGCAAGATGTCCAAAACCTCCTAAAATAAAATTCAAAATGAAAAGTAAAATGTTGTTTGAATTGTATTGCTACTATAAAAAAAGAAAGTACTTTGAAATAGGTCAAAAACTTTCTTCAAAAGTGTTTAAGAACTTTAAAAAGGGCCTATATGAATGAAAAAGTCAACAAATAAGCTCCACAGGCCAGAGACCCTGTCTATACACCTAGCACCTAGCACAGAAAAGGGAGCAAGTGAATAATATTTGTGCTTTAAACTAACCTATGCTGTTTTTTGTTTTGGTTTCTTAAGTACTGAACTTAGTCAGCATACTGGCCTCTCAAATAGAAACAAAAAGCCATACCTAGAGTGCAAAGTTAAATAAGGATGGAAAATAGAACATACTGTTCCATAATTCATACATTCAGTTAATAAGCATCTATTATGTCAGAAACGATCTTATGAGGTCCTCAACTCTTTAGAATCCCCAGTCCGTTCTTACCCTTCAGCTCTCAGTTTAAATATTGCCTCTACTCTACGGAATTCCTAAATGTATAGATTATGCCCCTCTACATTTCTCTTTTCTCAAATATCACTTCTTTGTTGCCTTTATAGCACTGATGTGTTATGTATTTAATATTATTTCATCGATTAGGAAGTAAGTTCCATGAGGGTAGGAACCTTGTGTTTTATTTACCACTGTATACTTCTCCAGCATAATGGCTAAGGTACACAGAGACACTCATTCTGACTGACTAAATGAAGAATGAATAAATGAATACCAGGTACATTGCTAGATGTTGGAGACAGAAAGATGAACTAAAATCTAGTCCCTGAAGGGACTCATCTAGCAGTACAGTCAAACTTTAAAACAAATTAGAATGTAATATGGACAAAGACCAAAAGCCCAGAATAAGAAAAAACTACCTGAATCTAAGTTGAATCAGAAAAAGCTCCCCAAAGTTGGCATCTGAACTGGGATTTATCAAAGAACAAATGAGTCTGCAAGACTAGCAAAGCAGCCCTCCAAGAGTGCTAAGGCATGAAGTTATAAGTATAGGAAGAGTGCGGCTGTGTACACACAACAGGCGCATGCTTGCAGATAACCATCCTAAAATTTTAGTCCTATTTTTTAAAAAAGTGAATCTTATATGGGTGGCACCCCATATGTAGCCAGATAAAAGATAATTTTTATCTAGGGCTGCTAATCTTTTGCAACCTTCAATAAATTTAGACATTTAAGAGAAAAAAAAAAGTATAGGAGAGTAATATCACCAACATGCTGACATAAGTTCATACTAACTTTGCTCCCCTTACAAGAAAAACTAACAACTATTCAAGAACAAGACACCATTTAGAGAAAACTAGCACACAAGAGTAAGACTGAAGCAACCTCCTGCACCACAGAGATTAAGATAGACTGCCTTACAACGGTAAGAGAAACAGCTACACACTGACTGCTTTGTCCCTCCCCAAGGCCAGCAGAGCACCTCATGGACAGGTGAGCCTCCCATTCCTCCAGTGAGAAAAGAGAGCCCAGGGGTACACCCAGTACCACTGAAGCACTGTGGGTCACCTTGTGGGACTCCCTACTCTGATCTCACACCACGGGGATTACAGAAGAATCTGCAGGGCTCAACCACTAGAATCTGACTGTGATGGAGAAGGGGCAAAAACTTAGCACATGGATTTTGGTAGACCAAGTACATACCTGCAGTGCCCAAGTAGTAGTAGTCATCCCAACGAGCAGCTTTGCTCATCTGCACAACCAAGTCAGAAGCACATTTTAACCAAGGAACAACACAGCAGGGGGGCAGATCTGCCTGGTTTGAATCATTAAAGAAAGAGTTTTGCTGGCTGAAGACTCCAGTTTGCTCACGCCCAGACAAGGAGCTGAATCACAGCCTTATCAGCGGTAGAGAATGTCTCCCAGCTTCATCTGACCAAAAGGGTTCCTGGGAGTTGTCCAAAGACAACTCCTGGAAGCTCTGTGTCCCAGCAGCACACAAGCCAAGAGGTGGGAGTGCAGAGCCAAGAGTTTGCAAAGCAAAATCACTGGCCCTGTTCAGTGAGGGAACTTGGGGTGCAAGACAGCTTGAATTAAGACAACAAAAGGCTTTACCAGCTTTAGAGCTGCTTCTCTTACTATGCACAGTCAGATAATCTAATTCATAGCCCCACTCATCACTGAATACAGTCTTCAGGCTGTCCAAACATGAACCTAAGCAGAGCACAGGGGAAGCTGCATAGCCTATTCAACAGCCCTATGTACAGGGTCACCTGAACAGACAACGCAGCCCAAGGCTTCCCCCATCTGCAGAGCAAAACTGTTGCCCTCCTAACTAAGGAATTTAATGCACATTCAGGCCAGATTAGGATCCCTAACCAATGCGCTATACTGGCCCGAGTCCCATCCAGCTACCCTGCCAAAGCAGGAAAGCTAATTCATAACTCTACTACTACTGAATATAGTATCCAGTCCAAACCATCTAGTAAGTCTAAACAGAGAATCCAGACAACCATGGAGCTCATCCTACAGCCTCACTTGGGTAGGGAACCAAGCCAGAAGTCCAACTGTACTAAGCCAGTGCCACAACCCACATTGCCATCCTGAGAGCTTAAATAGTTGCCTCATCCAAAAACAGACAATAGCAGGCTATACTTCCCCAAGAATATTATGAGCAGAAATACACACAGACCCAAAATGAGCTAACTAGTGAAGAACTATCTCTGCCAAATCAAACCTGTAAAGTTTGTATGAAGAACATGATTACTCAAATGCACACATACCAATATAAGTAATCAAGGATCATGAAAAATACCACCAAAGGAAATTAATAAAGCTCCAATAATTGACCATAAAAAAATGGAACTCTGAAATGTCAAAAGATTCAGAATAACCCTCTTAAGGAAGCTTAGTGAATTATAAGAAAATAGAGACAACTAAATGAAATTAGGAAAACAATGGATAACAAAACAAGAAGGTCCAACAAGGAAACAGCAACCAACAAAAAAACCAAACAGAATCCTAGAGTTGAAAAATATAACTGAACTGAAGAATTCAATAGTTTCAGAAGTAGACTCAACCATACAGAAGCACAATAACCTGTCAAACAGGACACTAGAAACTACCCAGTTAGAGAAGGGAAAAGAAAAAAGAATGAGAGTGAAGACAGCCTAAGGAAATAATGGGGCACAATGAAAAGAAACACTACTCACAGCATGGAAATTTCAGAAAAAGAGAAACGGACTTAAAGCATTAAGGGCTGAAAAACCCAAATGTAAAGAGAGAAATTGACTTCTAGAGCCACAAAGCCCAAATGACCCCGAATAGGTTGAACCTTAATAGGGCTACACAGGGGTATATTATAATTAAATTGTCAAAAGTCAAAGACAAAGGAAGAATATTAAAAGCAGCAAGAGAAAATAGAGAAGTTACATACAAGAGGACCCCTGAAAGACTATAAGCAGATTTCTCAACAGAAAATTTCCTGCCAAGAAAGAATGAGCTGACATATTCAAAATCTAAAAGAAAATAACTGTCCACCTAGAAATCTATATCCAGCAAAGCTGTCCTTCAAATGAGGAAGGGATAAAGACTTTCCTAAAAAAAACAAAAAGCTGACGGAGGTCATCACCACCAGATCTGCCTTCCAAAAATGCTATAGGAAGTTCTTTAAGTAGAAGTAAAAGGATGCTAATCAACAACACAAAAACATAAAGTAGTGCAAATCTTGCTGGCAATGGTGAATATAAAGGCATAGACTCTGTAATATGGTAACAGTGGTACATAATTCACTTGTAAGTCTAGTTTAAAAGTTAAAAAAAAATAAAAATAGCAATAACTACAATAATCTGTTATTAGTTACACAATATTTTAATGTAAATTGTTACAGCAATAAACCTAGCATGAGAAGTAAAAAAAAAAAGTAAAATAGCAATAACTACAATAATGTGATTAGTTACACAACATTTTTAATGTAAATTGTTACAGCAATAAACCTAGCATGAGGAGAAGTAAAAACATAAGTTCACAAATTCTACTGAGGTTAAGTTGCTAACAGTTTAAAATAGAGTTATAAGTTTAAGTTATTTTATGTAGCCTCATAGAAACCACATGGGAAAAGCCTATAGTGATTTTACACAAAAGTATAAGATAAAGAAGTCAAAGCATTATGACACCGTAAGATATCAAAACACAAAAAAGACAGCAGGATAAGAAACAAGGAACAATGGATCTATAAAATACCCAGAAAAGACCTGAAAAACTGCCAATAGTGAAATCCTAACCAATCAATAATTATTCAAATGTAAACAGACTAAATTCTCCAACTAAAAGACAGGATGGCTAAATGGATTAAAAAGCAAGCAAGGATAGCTATAAAGTCATGACTCAGAGGTATTACAGGTTCAGTTACAGACCAAACACAATAAATCAAATATCACAATAAAGCAAATCAAATGAATTTTTTGGTTTCCCAGTGCATATAAAAGCTATGTTTATGCTATACTGTAGTCTTTTAACTGTCTCATAGTATATTGTCTGAAAAATCAATGTACCCATAAGAATTTAAAAATACTTTACTGCTAAAACATGATAACCATCACCTGAGCTTTCAGTGAGTTGTAATCGTTTTGCTGGCAGAAGATCTTGTCTCAATGTTAATGGCTCCTGACTAACCAGGGTGGTGGTTACTGAAGATTGGAGTGGCTGTGGCAATTTCTTAAAAATAAAACAATAATGAAATTTGCTGCAGGGTTGCCAAAAACTTAATTTATAAAAATGCACTATATATCTGAACAGTGCAATAAAAGAATAAACAAACAAGATATGCCAATAAATGTACGAGATAGAATAGATTTTAAACTAAAAGTGGTAAAAAGAGGCAAAAGACGACCAGGGAGACTGAAGATAGCAGCATGAGAGGAGAGACAGAGAACTCCTCCCAAAACTACATATAATACGAAAATATAGTTAATACAACTAATCCTAAAAGAGCAACAGAAAAGAAAGCTGCACCAGACTGCATACACCTGGAGAA